TGATGTGACAACAACCAATAACAAATATAAAATTAGACCTGATAAAACAGTAGCACTTACGTATAAAATGGAATTTTCTTAAGATTAGGCTTTGACCTACAGGACCTTTGCAGTGAGGCCAAATCATTCAATGCTCAAAAATGATCTGGTGTTATTTTACGTTTTCTAAGCTCTGTATAGCTCACGAATTGTTAGGTTACCGAACATTTGACATCGAGTAGGTCATTAAGCATGTGTTGAATTTTCAGTTGCTGGAGTTCAGATCATACGCCAACACGTTTCCTGTTCGATTATAATAGGGGAAGAGGACTTGTACAGCTATTTTTACACCTGAGTCATGAGTATGTGTGTGTGTGCAAAGATTAAGTACGTTTCCTTTGATGTTTGTGATTTTGCAGTAGATCGGAAACACGGAGGGGCGTGGTCATGTGAAATTCCTAGTGCTTCTGACTGATCATTTTCTCCAGGTACTCGAGCAATAACAAGTGCAGGATGTCTGGCAGGTTAAGCGCATACGAACGCCTTTCATTAGTAGAATATTTTTTGGTGGAGGTGATTTGAAACTATAACTGCTGATGTAGCTTACCGGCCACCATAACTTGTAGGTTCTAGACTACTTGCAAATTGCTATGTATGTTTCAAAGCGAGTTGACTCACTGCAAGTTATGCATTATAAAAAGATGTATCCAGCAATGGAGTAGAATACTATTTTCCATTTACAAAGCAGTTTTATTGAAACAGGAAAACACTTAATTATGTTGTGCAAGTTTTGTTAAACATTTGCCTTTTGTGCTATACCACATCGACAACTAGTCCAAAAAATCAAAATAACCTTAATTAATTGTAATTTTACATTCCATTTCCAGACATGATGTCTAAGCTGCCTAGAAAATGTTTTCCATTCTACCTGGTGTTTTGTGAAACTTTGAAAACTTGCCATGAAATCTTCAATAAATTAACCATTAAGTGATCGTACAATATCAATATTTCCATCTGTAAGCAAATTATTTTGCTGAAACCAAGATCTAGGCATTACTGAATTTTTTTCAAGAGCCAGATTTTTTTTTGCAGCAATTCTTGAACTAACCGATAATGCATCATTTGATTACTTATACCCACACACGATTACTTAATGATGCAAAAAATTACGAAACCCAAATAGTGACAAATCCCAATAAATCGTTTGCGATTTTCTGATTTCGAAAATCCGAAATTTATTTCTTGTTGTTTTCTACAATCGTTCTCCGCAAAAATTTGAATCACAGCTTGTTATTGTTGAAATAAGCTCCAGACTGCTCTAAATCAGTCACCACAGCCTTGATACCACATTTGATATTTCCATCACCATTTTTCTCTTAAACAACCTTTACATTAGTCTCCAGTTATACAAACCACAGGTTCGAATCAAGGGTCTTTAAAACAAATCGCATTGAACTATATTTTTTGGAAACAAAATTTCAAAATGATCAAAATTCGTCAATTTCAAATTCTGCATTTCTCTACCACAATTCATAGTCAATTTAAAAATAAATTAATTTTCTGAAAACTTGGTACACGTAAATGAAATATCAAAAGCAGCTTCAGTGCACAGAAAATCCTAAAGCATTTCCACACATTTAAATAAAATTCACCTCGTCACCGATGCTTATAATGCACTTTTTAGCATTCAGACGGGCAGTGAGTTTTGGGAATCGCTAATTTTGTCAAATGGGTTCATGACCTGTAACTTCCACCACGTCTTTGAATACTGAAGTTAGGTTTCACTTGGAAGTTGATTATAATGCCGTGTTCCTTACCACAATTTTCTCTCTACCCTATTAGTGGGTGATTTAGTGCGATTAAGTACAGTTCCGAAAGTCTTCAATGATTCGTTTACTAAAGCCGAAAAGTAGCAACGCCTTACTTGTCAACAACTGTCTTGCCATAAACAAATGGCATTGTAAAGCTAATGTTTTTCACCCAAAACCTGGTAGTTGCTGATGTAAGGTTTAGTCCTTTAGCTTTTTCATTCGTTTTCAACGGTTTTCCTTGTGCCAATGAAGTCGACTTGGAACCACCATCCACAAAGTCCTCCCATCCATTTACGAGCACTTTTCACCCGGATTATGTTGCAGGTTAAAATCAACTGCAGCTCGAGTTGTCTTATTCGATCTTAGAGGAGCGCTTAAGATGAAACAAATTTAACATTCAACAGCTTGCTGATTACCTAATGGGTGTCTACGAGGTGCAAGTTACTGCACTGTAACTTCATGCCACTGATGAAAAATCCGTACACTGATGTTTATTAGTAATGTGTTTAAGTGACTTGAGACCAGTTTCAAAGGTCACTCACCTGCGCCTTTTATGTCAGCATACTCTGCACCCAACTGTGTACTCCGGCTGTAATCGTAACTTTTGGTAATCGTGACATAAGTAGAGCCAATTCTGTGGAAATGCGGTGCTTAATAATTATGAAAATGCGGCCACCGAGACCGACTGCATAATTAATTAGCAGACAGTCCAATTCGCAAGTCGTGTTCTTTTTCAACGGTTCGCATATATACAAACATTTTAAGATGTGTACGCAAAACCAGCTATCAGTTTTACTTTGCATGCAATAAGACTAGTTTCGAATAAGAGCGATTTTCATGATCATGTCCACGCAAAGCCTATTTAAACCTAATAGGAACTTCCGTAGTGATAACATATCTAGCCTGCAAAGATGAATGTGAAATCAGTTTTACCCTCCCAGTATAAAAGCAAAGATCTACAGACCATAATAATGGAAGAGGAAAATAATTCGCACATGCATTTCAACAATGCCAAATTGACGATGACTGAACTTCCGCCGTTCTTGGTCTCAAAGCCAGTCGTGTGGAGAAGTGTAACGTTCAGAGTAACTTTAATGACTGCCAAAAAGTCGCACTTAGTAGGAGTAAACTGTTAATTTTTGCCAGAACTGTCCGACTGATTGTCCATCCCTGTCAGCGACATTGTTTACTCCTTGGTATTTTAATTGTCGAAAAATAGCCGAGAAGATTGACAATCAATCTCATTGAGCACCATCACTTAAATAGTAGTACCTCCTCAGAACTTCAGAATTTACTATAGGTAGACAATTTTTCCCGTGATTTATTCTGCATGTGACATAAATATCCGCAAAACCAATGGGAATTGGTGTTTACCTTTCATCGTAAACTGCGTATTCGGATAATTAAAGTTCTTAACCTCAGAATGCTCGTTTCAATGAAATCATAAGTTGTCAGCCTGCTTCAAAACTTTCTTCATCCTGAATTACCACTAAGGCGGCCGGCGATAAATCAAACTGGAACCCCCAAGTTTCTTGCAAAACAGTTAACTGTGCGGATTTTACCCAAGATTTACCCTCAAAATTTTATATATGCTTTATGTTGAGGATTCAGTTGTCACTCATATAGCTGTAGTCTTACCTTATGTGGGCGCAATCTTATGGATAAGACTTCACACTGAAAGATTCTACACCTTCACCCAACGTCTATTTCGACATGTTCGACGTTTTGTCGCGTTGATGACCAGATGGTATCCGATTTAAAATATATTTACATTCTCAATATCAATTGCATGTGCAAATTTGCTTGAAGACCCTGGTGGCTAAAGCAGTATCAAGCGAGAGATACAACCGCTGGATTGAGCAGAGATAATTCATTGTGAGCTGGTCAGTTAAACCAAAAAATTATGAATTTCTATACATTGCATGGTTTGTCGAAGATCTTGCCTGAGCTATTCGTCAGATTAGCTAGTTACTTATGATTTTTGAAAACATGTATTTCAAAGTAAATGTACAACCATCACAGGGTTTAGGGATTGCTGATTTCTCAATCCAACAAGCACACAGGAGTCAAAATCCAAAAAATCCCTTCCCCACATTCATCGGGAAGTCTATTGTACTTTATGGTCCGAGATTCACAAGTTCTTTTTCAAGAAAAAGTACCTACAACTCAACCGACAGACCTCCTAACTCTAAATCCTTTGGGGACAAATTTAGTTGCATGTTAAAGAAACAAGCAAGTTGAGGGCAATTGGTGCCATTAATTAGCTTGTTTCGTTGTCACGTGGTTTCTTACGATAAACGAATTAATTAATGTAAGTAATGTTGCATGTCAACACTCATGCTTATTACCTGTTACAGTTGTGTGAGAATGTCCTCAGACGTAATGAAAGTTTAAATTAATCTAGGCAGAGGTGCAATAGGCAGACCTGCGCTTCACATTCAAAAACCGTGATTTAGCTTTAAGAAATTCTCTTAGATTCCGAAAACATTTCTGGTACACTGGGAATGGGGCTATTGAGAAGCTGCGTAAGCCTTAGCTCAGAATCGTACAATTTTTCTCATTTTTTAACCTTCGAAAAACGCCTGACACAAAAAGAACCCAATTTTGGGGAATGTGTACTAGGTGCAGTACCAGAAAGAAAGCAAATAATCCAACTACAGGAAACCAATTCTTCATGCACCCAGGCGTGGACATGCACTTCCCCAATCAATTACTATTTTCCAGATTTTGTGTAGGTACTGAAATTGTATTGTAAATCAATTTTATCCACAAAGTCCAGCGCTCAATCTGCGTTGCAACCATCAGTCACTGAACAGTGAATTTGGTAGCAAACAATTATAGGATACATTATTTAAATTACTCCGGTAAAAAAACAAAGTGCACAATAAGAACCCTCGATTACTTTCAGACTTTCTCAATAGAGTCGATAAAATTGTTTACATGACTGGCTGCCTATTTGCGAAATAGTATGCGCAGGACTCGTGAGATTTTTTCCCTTGTAAGAACGCCACTTGAACCTACCCCCAAGAATTCATTGGTAGTAAAATAAAGTATGGGCGAAAAGGTTATTGAGGTTCTAACTTGATACCACACATAGGTCGGATTTGTTCCAACCACCGATTATGGCGTTAAAAACAGATTGGCAAAAAGTTGAGCCATAAGTTTAAGTAAATTTGTGTTTCTGTACAACTACACATGCAATAACTCCGCTCAACAAGAAGGACCAGGCCCGGGCGTAGGCATAGGATCCAGGCTATGAACATGTTTGTTTATCATTTCGGCACGTTTTCGGAGGTAATTCTTCCAGTGAAGCAGCATCTGATCATCAATAAACCGAGTCACTGGGTCACGGGCAACTTCACGCCTGAAGTCTGGCGACTGAAGCAAGTCAAGCATATGGAGACAGTAAGGATATCTGAAGAAGGGGTGAAATTTTAGAAGGTAATAAACCAAGAACAGTCCATGCAATTATACCAGTTATTTTGCACGACAATTTCTGATGGATCAAAGGTATGTTTCATAGGGGTATTTTTCTTCATCTTCAAGTTATCATAACTGGCTCAATTTCATACATTTTGATGAAATGTTAAAAGATTTCCTCATCAGCCACCCTTTTAAAACAGATAGTAAGGTTTAAGACAAAGTCAAGATCTAAGGCTAAAGTCAATGTCAGGGCAAATTCTCAACACCGTTGCCTGTAGTCAAATGATAACATATCAGAAAGGCAAATGATAACGGTATTTAATGTCCTTTGGAAAAACAAAGACGATTTCTAGTCTATCGGCTACGACGACAAAGTGAAATTTCGACGTTTTCACATGCAGTCTACAGCTGTCTTAACGTAGATTATTTCAACGTCAGATAACTAAACAAAGCATTAGAATGCACTCACAATGTATTCTGCTTCATCGAGGTAGATAAAACTGAAGCAAACTAATGTCAGCTCGAGAATGAAGTAACTGTTTCTTGCATGATTTATGGTCAATTCAGCAAGACGTGATTTGCGGTAAGGTTGATAAAATGGGGCATAACGTGCAAGTGACTTGGGTGATGGAAGAACAGACAAAAACACAGAACAGGCATGTTGAAAAGTTCCGAGGTTACACATGGACATGCACATTTGATGCATCACGTTATAATACATTTAACATCCTATAACCTCACCACTCACATCCATGTCTGTACTGCGAGGGTAACTCATTACTAGCCAAACCGTGGGGTTCTAGGGAGCCCACTCCAAATTAAGGAACATCAAAATATGTCAGCACCGAAAATAGGCACAGTAAGAATACAACAACAGACCATTACTAATTAGTTCAATGATGAATTTCCAATGTACTGTATCAACTTACGTGATAAATCGTGAATATGATGGAGACTTCCAGTATTGTAAGTAAGCCAAGTAATTTACAAATTCTGGCTTGTCAAAACATCCCTGTTGTGCAAGAACTAAAGATTATGAAGAAAATGTACGTATTACTTACAGGTCAGGTAGTCCGGATTTCCAAGGGACTGGACAAACTCAAGTTCAATTTGAAATCTTACCCAGGGATCTTCTAGAGTAGCTTAAACGGTAAAATAATCAAGCAGTTGCCTACACTTGAGAACTCCACTACCATCTGTTCTCGTGGGCATTAGCATGTTTTTTTGGCGATTTTGCATGCTGTATAACAAGGTTCTTGGCAGAAAAGACACAAAATTAGCAACACATTAGCTAAATAAATCTGATTTGTTGAAAACAACAGATCTTAAAATTATATATGCAATTTCATGTGCATCTTTACACTTAATTGCACAATGATTTGTCGGATAAGAATGAGATCAGGAATGGAACCTTTAAGCCGGTTTTTTGTTTAATATAAAAACACTCAACAAGTAGGAAAAGGCGTGAATTAGATAATAGGAATACATAAAAGTGAAGATTCAATGAAGCTCACATAGAGTTGTGTCTAGAGTTATAAGTGATTCGTGTAAATGGAATTAAAAATTCCATTTCCTGGGCTACTCATGTCGGATGACCTGAGAAACCCAGCAAAAATGGATTAATGGAATGGGTGCAAATTTAAAGTAAGACTGGAAAGGATAACTGTTTGTGATTCAGGATAAATTTATGAAAGCTAAGGGCCTAGTTTGAATTGTCGTTGCGACGCCTAAAGCGATAATTTATCACCAAAATAATAAAACCATTGTGGCGATGTGATGTGGTGTGGCGTCGGATTAGGGCGCAGACATATTGGACCACCTGGCCTCAGCCAATCCTGTGTCTCTCTGCAAT